TGGGAGTTAAAAAACATGAGGATAGCTCTAGCTGGTTTGGTTCAGTGGATAGAGTGTCAGCCTACGGACTAAAGGGTCTAGGTTTGATTCCGGTAAAGGGCACATGCTCAGGTTGCAGGCTCAATCCCCAGTGGGCACAGGAGGCAGCTGATCAATGATTATTTTTCATCATTAATGTTTCTCTCTCCTCTCCCATTCCTCTCTGAAGTCAATAAAAATATATTTAAAAAGCATACACACACGAGGATGCCAATATGGCTGTGAAGAGATGAATGGAAAAGAAATCAGTGGGAAAGTCATTTTTGTAGGCTGTGCACAGAAAAAAGTGGAATAGCAGGCCAAGTTAAAACAGAAATTTGAACAGCTGAAGCAAGAGAGAATTAGTCAATATCAGGGGTGAATCTCTACATTAAGAACTTGGATAACACCATTGCCAATGAGAAGTTATGGAAAGTTTTCTCCTTTCGGATCCATCACCAGCTCTAAGGTAATGCTGCAGGATGGGAGAAGCAAGAGGTTTGACTTTGTTTGCTTCTCATCTCCTGAAGAGGCCACCAAAGCAGTCACTGTGATGAATGGATGCATCATGGGTTCCAAGCCACTGTATATGCGGAGGGTGGCCGGAATGAGAGCACTCCCTGCCAATGCCATCTTAAATCAGTTCCAGCCTGCAGCTGGTGGCTACTTCGTGCCAGCAGTTCCACAGGCTCAGAGAAGGCCTCCATATTACATACCTAACCAGTTAGCACAGCTGTGACCTAGTCCATGCTGGCAGCAAGGCTTGCCAAGTGCTATACACCAGTCTGAGCCTTGTCCAACTCTTCGCCATCTGGCTCCAATTGGTAATGATCCGGCCTCTCGTGGCGTCCCTACTACTACTCAGAGAGTCGGGTCTGAGTGCCCAGACTGCTTGGCAATGGACTTTGGTGGGTCTGGTGCCACCCAGCAAGGGCTGACTGACAGCTGCCAGTCTGAAGGTGTTCCCACAGCCGTGCAGAACTGAGCACCTCGCTCCGCTGTGGCTGCAGCTGCTCCTCGGGCTGTTGCACCAAGTATGCCTCCAGTGTCTGCAGCCCTCTCCTTGCCATACCACCTTTGCAGGCACCTCAGCTTGTGGTCCATATGCAGGGGCAGGAGCCCCTGACCACCTCCATGTTGGCCGCAGCACCACCCCCCTTCCCCTGCAGGCACCCCAGCCTGCGGTCCATGTGCAGGGGCAGGAGCCCCTGACCGCCTCCATGCTGGCCGCAGCACCCCCCCAGGAACAGAAGCAGATGCTGGGCGAACGTTTGTTCATTCTCATCCAAACCATGCATTCAAACCTGGCTGGAAAGATGACGGGAATGATCAACAACTCTGAGCTGCTGCACATCCTGGAGTCCCCCAAGTCTCTCTGCTCTGAGGTGGATGAAGCTGTGGCGGTTCTACAGGCTCATCATGCCAAGAAAGAAGCTGCCCTGGTGGGCATTGTTGCTGCTGCTACCTCTTAGGCAAGGAAAAAACGGTTCAGAAGCCAAATAACCCGTCATGAAATTCAGCTCAAGGTTTGAAGATTTCCTAGCTTGCCCTATGGACCTCAACACTAAGAACCACAAATTGCAAATTTAATAGGTCGTTTAGTACCAAAAGGTCAATTATGAAGCACGGAAAATTTTTTAGTTAAAGAATGTATTCTCTGGGTTCTGCTACAGCTCAGGCAGTGTTAACTTTTTTTTTTCCCTGTTGTGAGTTTTGATCCTCCCCTCCTCCTCCCCGCCCCCCGAAATTGGTTTTATTTGATGTATCCAAGTCTTAAGTTTCTCAATAAAAAAAAAAAAGGAGAAACTAAGATTGCGGGATAGGGAAACACCGAAATTGCTGCCTCCTACAACAACTTCAAAACACAATAAAAGGCAAGAAAGGACAG